CCAAGAGAGTCCACATTGCTGAAAAGAGTTTGTGATCTTTTTTTTTTTTTTGTTTTTATTCCCATGTTTACATGATTCTCTCAGTTTTGCACGTGATCTATCATACAAAGTACCGTTTTAAGAAATCCAATACTCGACTCAACACTATTGAGCGGTGGTGTCAACGATTTTTATTTTCTTCTCATACGCTCTTCTCATATTTTTGCTGTCATTCTCAAACGTGCTCTCAACACCTTCAAATTATGGAAACATAATTTTTTTTTATAGAAAACATATATACAGTATGCTCAAAAACATAGGAATATACCCAAAATATGAATCAAAAGAATATATGGAAATTACAAAACCTCGCTAATAATTTGTTTTTCTTACATTAGATGAAAGATCAAAGAATAATGCAACGTGAATAGCCATCTTCAGTCGTCGACCAACTCAAAAAGTAAGAATCACGACGAAAATGACGGCATATTTATGAAAATTTTGATGACAGGTCATCCATCTATCACTATTTTGTGATTTATGTGGCCAAATATTGTAACTAATTACAATGTAACATCACGTCTAATAGTTGTATCAGAAAAATGGTGAGGAAAATTCCATCACCGTCATGAATGTTACATATGAATACCAATCGTTAGTCTTTAGTTTGTTTCATAAGTAAAAACATTTACTCAAATCAATCGAGTGAATTGTCTTCTCCTGACAAAATATATTATCAGCGAGTGATTTACTGCGCTAATACTACCAGATTATATATATTGAGCTCAGATGGTTTGATGTCAATCTGTATGGGAAGTAACAAGTGGAGAGTTCGATGCTCCATCTTTGTTTTCTTCTTCTTTCATAAATCAATAATATCACCTTCTTCTTTTTTTGGCCTGTAGTCCAAGTATTTGTAGGAGTTAGAACCGACTTTGAATAGTAAGTTTCTACGATACAATCTCAAAAATATCTATGCATTTGAGAACTTCAAGTGTTTTTTTTGAAAAGTATTGTGGTGATGTCGAAAGATCTTTTACATATATCTATTAGACATCTTAACAATTTAAGATATCATAACTAAACTAAATTAATCGTCTAGTGGTTCATATTAAGGATGTTATTGTATAACTATAAAAATTAGACTTAATTAAGATCCCCATATTATATAAAATTCACAAAAAAAATTCGTAACGGTGATCCATGCCTAATCCAGTTTTAACTTTTTGATGGTGTTTGATATTTCAGAAACGAAACTTAATTTCGGCTAAAAGTACTAATTAGCAGATCAGTCTTATCTGATCTTAAGTTAAGTAAACCCAAGTTGAAGGGACTATATACTAAACTAAACAACTAGTTTTGAAAGAAAAAATGATTTTGGTCTAAATAAAAGAAAAATAGTAAATACATTTTGGTGTCTTTAGTTGAAATACCATGTGAAGAATTGCTGACAAACTGCCTTTATACAAAAAAAAAAAAGAAGGATAAAAATTGCAGAGAGGTGCATGAATAGTCCAAATCACATCAAAATAAATGAATATAAACAAAAAAAAATACATAAGATCGATCGGATAATAAAAAAAAGTTGTGCATTCCAAAAACAAAAAAGCAGTGCATGTGGATATGATTATAGAGATAGTAGTAGTAGTAAGTAGTAGTGATAATAATTCATAAATTGAATATAGATCCGTTTGATCCTAGGACTTGGTTGGACTTTGAATAGAGAGAGAGATGTTACATTCGTACAACAACCCAAGTGAGTTTGAGTTTGAGTCTCTTCCCTTATTACATCCCCAAAGGATCGGAGGAGCTAGTAGAGCTCGTCGTCGTCGTCGCACACTAGCAGGACCCACGGCGTCACATGATCTAACGTGGAGATTGTTGGACAGGTGTTAGATGCCAATTCGTTCCACTTAGAAATATTCACTTGTCAGAGAAACACAAGAGAACCGATCCCTAGGCAAAACCACGTGATTGCTTGAATGATATACTTAATTTTTCTTTTTTATCATCAAATTGGTCGCACCATTCTAACAATAATCATCTCCTTTTGTTTAATCTTAGTTTCCTTTATATATATATATATATAAAAATGATGAGCGTGGAGCCAATCCCAAATCGTATCTTCTCACGTATTTTAGACAAAGAGCGAGAGGGGTGGGTCCTTAGGAAAACATGGCTACTTACTTGCTCGCAAGTCACCACCTTCGCCCTCTTCTTCTCACCTGTTCTCTACTCTCTGCACATGCGCTTGCTTACTCCTCCCACCGACTACATACTCATACGGTCCGCACAAATCGTATATTATACGTTATCACCCAAAATACGGTCAACCGTACATAATTATACTGATTAAATTTACTACCCCCTACTCACGCCAACATTTCTGTATATCATCATTATTACTCGTAGAGAGAGAGCTAACTATAAATTATGTGTCACGGACTTGTATTACTCTTCTTGTGATATGTATTAGATTCATATCCAGAGGTGGCATATTTAATTTTGTGTATGTGTGATATATATTGGACACATTTAAGTTGTAACTTTATTTAGTCATGTCCTTGTTGAGAGATCATCATAGAAAGTAATCTTTTGATGAGGAGTTTAGCCTTTTTCTAATACAAAGCGTAAACTTATGCTAATATAAAGTTTTAAGGGATTTATATCCCCGGCCCTTAGTTTATTCATCAATAAGTTTTGGATTTATCATTTTTCTATTTTTATATCATGAATGATATTCCGGTTTAATTCAGAAGTCTTACCAAACTCATGATATATAGGGCGTTTAAATTACTTACAATTTGGTTAAATGAGACTACGGTTTCCTATATATATAAATCTACTCGTTTTAATCAATATTTGTTGAGATGTCTTAATCAATTTTTAAGTTTAATGATCGACGACACTCATATAAGAGAGAGAACCTTTTTCTTTTTATGCCGGAAGTTATACAAACATTTTTGGCCCCAACCGTAGGCGAAATTCAAAATTTTTGGTATCATAATAAGCATGACACTGAATATAAAACAGAAAAGCTTAATACATTAGTTTGATATAATGCATGAAGTGATCTCAACATATATATAACCATTGACGAGATGCGATATAGTACATATATGTCCTTTGTATACATGTTTATAGTTATAAAAAATCAAATAACACCTACATATAGCTTTTTGTCATTTGGAGAGTAATGGAGAGAAGTCTTTCAGAAGAAAGTGATCGTGTATGGAGTGATGTCCAAGTTAGTTACTGCAAATCTATACTAAAAAAGAAAGATTTTTTTTTTATTTTTTTTTATAAAGAAAGTGAAAAAGTAGAGACTTAGAAAATCAGCATTAAATTAAATAGGTAGATCATGTGTTTTTTTTTAAAAAAAATTTTGATTTCTTTAGGAAAGAGTGTGCTTGAAGTAAGGAAGCTAAGAGTATGGTTGAAGTTAGCTTAAGAAAATGGTGATATAGAAGAAGATAATCTCGGAGAAAAAGAACTCGTTGGATATGTATAAGAATGTGGAGTTACGTTCTTTGGATTTGAATTCATTGTGTCTTCGATTTTTTTTTGGTGGCTTCGTACAGTGTTCTCCAGAAGCTATTATATTAGGGGTTTTATTTTTTGTTAACTAATTAATTTTATTTTCATAATTTGGTGTATCATCATTGTTCAGTAAGACTAAGAGACTTAGAAAAAAATTCTTATGATGATATCTACCATACAAATAATGATTAGATAACATTTTATAATCACTATATTAAATTTTTCAAGATAGCTTAACAAGAAAAATAATGATCAACCCTTTCAGAATAGGGTTTACTTTTTAGTTCATCTATATATACTGCCTGACCTTTTAGCTAACTAATGAAAACAAAGTTATAAAATACTAATTTGCTAAAGCTTCAGTGATATGCTCAATTAGTTACTAAGTCAATATAATTAGATAGATTTTAATTTGTCAGCAAAATGAAGTAATAATGTAGAATAGAGTAGATGCTAATGGGAGGAACTCGAAGTCTAGTAATACTATTCTATTAATTTAAAACGTAGAGGCTTTAGTTTATATTGTAAGTAAAACAAAGAAAGATACAGAGTGGAGTCATGTGTTTCGTTAAGCCTATGAGTAGTAATATAGATTATAGACTTTTAAATGTAATTTGACAAAGAAAATAAAATGGTAACAACATGAACATACTAACATGTATTAGGAAAAAGTCTATACATACTTTTTACTTTGCAACACGTAGTAGTCTGTTTAAAAGGCAAAATGCCTAAGCCTAAAACAATGGGAAGAAAACTAAATACATAAATCATTATTTTAATTTAAGTTAGATATGAAAAATAATAAAATTGGAATTACATGTACGCGTAAACGTCGTATTATGTGTGTGTGTATATATATTTCTTTCGTGCCATTTCACCTTCCCATTATCTCATTGACTTTTCTTGTGCGCATATACGGTAGGAGCAAAACCATGACTGAACTATACGCGTTAGTTAAAAAACACTTCTTGAATTTTCTTTTAACTTTTTTTAACTTAAGAAAAAAAATCCGTATTTACTTGTAATTACGTCAACTCTTTCTTTTTAGTCAAAGAAAATTGAACCTAAAATTTTTGTAGGCTTGCGTTACAATACATAAATGATCTTTGTTGATAAACATTAAAAAAAAAAAGATATAGATGGAAAGGTGAAGGTGGTGTATGTATGTAAAACTTTAATTTAAAGTTTTAAACCATAGTTTTTTTCTTTAATGACTTTTTTTTGAAGTTTTTAACATAAACCATAACCAAAGCTTTATATTATGAAAACAAAAACAACTTTAGAACAGCTAAGCAAGGTTATGTGAATAAATCATCTTTGGTAAAGTCTCAATGAGAAATGGAACCCACATGATGAGGGTGGAGGAGGAGGAGGAGGTGAGATTATTATTATTTGATATTTTTTTTGTATAAAAAAATTATGAATTGAGAGAGAGAGAGAGAGAGAGAGAAGGAAAGAGACTTCCACATGAAGACAGGGTAAGGAATGGTAAAATACAGCTAGCAAAAGAGAGAGAGAGAAGTGTTTCTCACACCTAACTCTTTATAATAATAAGAGAGAAGCCATTGCTCTCCTCCATTACTCAACACCCCTTTTTTTTTCCCAATCAATCACTCTTCACTTCTCCCCACTCCTACTCCTTTTTTTTCCTTTCTAAGCAATCCCTCTCTCTCTCTCTCTCTCTCTCTCTCTCTCTCTCTCTCTATCTTCTTATATTCTCAAATTTGATTCCTTTTCTCTCTCTCTCTCTCTTTCATACGATCTGCACAGCACCAAGAACAGAGGTTTGAATTCCCTCCTCCTTCTTCTTCTCATTGTTCGTTTTTTGGCTTTTCCTTTTGTTTTTGAATTCTCTGAATTGTGTTATGGATCTTTAAGAATCTTGATGTTCGAAATTGTGGGTTTCTTGCATAATTCAAGAAGTGTCGGTGGGGGTTGCATTTTCCTAACCAATCTTGATTCTACAACACTCTGTTTTTTCTTTTCTTTTTTTGTAACTGAAGTTTCTTTTTCTTTTCTTCATTTCAATTCACACAAACAATTCTAGAAGCAAAGATATGTAATATATATCACCAAAGAATTATTGCTTAATTAGCGGTGACTTTTGACTTTTTAGGACCCTCCTTTCAAGTCTATTTGTGTGTGTGATTGAATTTGTTACATTACATTTAGAATGGTCCTCATTATTATTAAGCCTTCTTAACCCAACCAAGCCAAAAAAAAAAAAAAAAAAAAATAATCAGAAAAGGTGGGCCAAAGCATGTTTTTTATTTTTCAAAAAAATTTGATATTTTAAGGTGGTTCCAAAATTTGGTTCAAATTTTCAAAAACTTTTTCAGACATAACTCATTAGAAACTTCTCCTGTTCAAACTCTTGTCATTTTCCTCCATCTCTCTATATATGAAGCCCATCTCTAATTATTTCTTTTTATCAATTTGTTTCTCCAGCTAAGGTTTGCAATAATTGTTACAACAACAACAACAACAAAAAAGAAAAGAAGAAGAAGATGATTGGACAAAGCTTCCCTGAGGATCTTGATTGTGGCAACTTCTTTGACAACATGGATGATATCATGGACTTTCCCGGTGGAGATATCGATGTCGGTTTCGGCATAGGCGACTCCGACGCGTTCCCTACCATATGGACCACTCAGCACGACACCTGGCCCGCCGCTTCCGACCCTCTCTTCTCTTCCAACACCAACTCAAATTCATCAACTGAGCTCTATGTTCCGGTTAGTTCTATGCCCTCTCTCTTTTAGCCAATTCTCACACATTTAAACCACAAGTTCAAATGAGTATGATAATTCTGTCGTTTTGGTTGGCTTTTAGTTAACTCAAGTTTTGTTTGTTTTTTTCCCGCTCATTATTTGTATAACAATGTTTTGTTGGTTTTATGCTAACTTCTCTTTTGTTCTGTTTTTTGCAGTTTGAGGATATTGTCAAGGTGGATAGACCACAAAGCTTTGTTGAGGAATCCTTGGTTGAGAAGAAAGAAGAATCGTTTTCGACAAACACAGATTCATCATCTTCTCATAGCCAATTCAGGAGCTCAAGTCCAGTGTCGGTTCTCGAAAGCAGCTCCTCGTCGTCCCAAACCACCAACACAACCTCCCTTGTCCTCCCTGGAAAGCACGGCCGTCCACGCACAAAACGTCCTCGTCCACCGGTCCAGGAGAAGGACAGAGCCAAAGACAATGTGTGCGGGGCAGACTCGCGCCTCATCATTAGGATACCGAAGCAGTTTCTCTCAGACCACAACAAGATGATCAACAAGAAGAAGAAGAAGAAGGCCAAGGTTACTTCTTCCTCTTCTTCTTCCGGGATCGATCTTGAAGTCAATGGAAACAATGTCGATTCGTATTCTTCAGAGCAGCAACATCCGGTTAGGAAATGTATGCACTGTGAGGTTACCAAGACCCCACAGTGGAGGCTTGGACCTATGGGACCAAAGACCCTCTGCAACGCTTGCGGCGTGCGTTACAAATCAGGGAGGCTTTTCCCGGAGTACCGTCCAGCTGCTAGCCCAACATTCACTCCAGCTCTTCACTCAAACTCTCACAAGAAAGTGGCTGAGATGAGAAGCAAGAGATGCAGTGATGGTAGCTACATAACCGAGGAGAATGATCTGCAAGAACTGATCCCGAACAATGCCTTCATTGGTGTAGACTAAAAACCGAGGAAAGACAGATTCGATTTCAATGCCTTGAAGAAGTGATTAGATTTGCCAGGAGTAGGAAAGAGTCAGTGAGCAGAGAAAAAGCTTTAGCATTAGAAGAGATGAATGAAGAGAGCAATCAATTGAAGGGGTTAGATGAGAATTGATTGTGTTTGTATTTTGTATTTGTAGTGTGAATGGATGGGCCAACAAAAAAAAAAAAAACTCTTGAAACAGAGGAAAAGTAAGTTGAGGAAGAGCACAAGATTTTGAAGACATTAGAGAAACAAGTTAGGTGTTGATCAGTATTTACATTATAAAGCTTCCTCTCCTTCTTTTGCTCTTTCAATTCTTTGTATTTTTCTTGTGAGGATTCTTTTTTCTTTTGTAGTTGATTTGTTTTAGCTAAAGGATTATTTTTGTTTTTGTTTATTGCTAAAATCCAATGTTATAAATTGTTAATTATTAGTAGTTGATAGATGGTTTCCCTACCTTTGAAACTATACATACTTGATACTTGTTTTTGCCGACAAGCTAAAGATATATTTAGCGTACTCACTGATTCAATCTAAAATAGAATGAAACGGCTTATAACTTTTTTGTAAGTTTTAAAGCTAAGTTAGTGGAGCGTTTAAATCAGTGTACTGTTATTTTAATGATACATGCAATAATATAAAACTAAATGGGTGATGAGAGATAGATAGAGTAACAACCACTAATATTTTTCTAACAAGAAGACTTAATACTAGCTTTTATGTAAAAACTCACCCATCTATGATGCCAATTCAAGTTAAGAGTGTTTCCTATCTTAAGCTACCTACCTTCATTCAAAACTCCACTCAATTCATATTTTCCACTCTCTTTTTTTTCTTTCATTATCATATTTTTTTTTAGCATATTACATTTGCTAAGCACTATTTGATGAACACAGTGAATATTAATGATTATATTTTTGTCTTCATATTGTTATTTTCAAAACATAAAAAGACTATAGACTATAGATTTTCAAAACATAAAACATAAAAAGACTATAGACTATAGACTATAGACATAAGGATACTTATTTTTTATTTTTTTGTATTCGCCGATGCACAAATAACTAACTCGATTGGATAAACATTATATCTTCCATTTTGATGATTTCACCAAACGTGTATCTTTCGTCTTTTAATTTTGTCCCTTTTTCTTCTTCTTTCAGTTATGGTCTTTAATTTACTGGCTATGTTCAATGATCGTAGCTAGTTGGGTCTTGGCCTAACACATTACATATATTTATAGTATACTTATCTTTGTATTTTTTTCCAGTGGTTAAAAGTAGACTGATACATATGTTTACATAATTTAGCAGAAGCCTAACCCTGAGACCTTCCCTATTGTATATGAAAAGAACTGAGAGACGAATTCATCAACTTTGCCGACACTAGGGGTTTAAAAACCCGAACATTCCCTGCCCGCCGCTCTTCTTGCTTCTCATCATTCGATAAACACCACCGTCTTCAACTAATGACAAGACCCATAATTAGAAACTATAAGGCCCATTAATAGGCCCATAAAGTGCTGTTCGTTTATAGCGATTGAAGCACACACAAACACGCGAGGTCTTACAATTAGGCCATGCCGTCTTTGACAAATGAAATGAACTGTTTTTTGTCCACCTCTCTGTAATACGGCTAGACTTTATTAAAAAAATTTGGAAAGCATTACATTTACGTTACGACTTTCATGAAAACATAATTAAAGGGAAAACACATTATGACAAAAAAAAGGAAAACCAAACAATTAGTTCACCTCGAATCGGAAAAAAAGGAAAAGGCGCGTTTATTATTGAGTCGGTTTAACTACTTTTTAGCCTTTTATTTAGGTTGTGATTATCCTCAAAAGCTACACATACATTATGTTGCAACATCAAATTTTGACGAAACGCCTCTCTCATCGTCCTCGTTAAAGCCCAATACAAAAACAGAGGTACACTTACCCAATCATATAAAAGCCTAATAATGATAAAGCCCATCAAGAATGCCTTCGTTTTAACTTTTTCCTAATGCGATTCGCATCCCATATTGGTCAGGTTAAATTTCAAAAATATTTTCTTTAATTTGTTTTCTCATCACTATTTACATACAGTACTGAAGTTTCTAATCTATTAAAAAAAAAAAAAAAATTGCATATGTTGAAAATATGGAGTTTTTTTTTTTTTTTTTTTTGTCTATCAAAAATTTTAGAATATTTTATTAGATTCGACTTTTACTGTATTTGCTAATTGCGACAAGTGACAAAATACCACGGAGAGATTGAAAACTTAAACGAAAGAATTATTTGAATAATCCAAGTGAGAAGATAAAAGAAGAAGGAGAAAGTTGATTTACAAAATCTGTAAATGTTAAAAACATATGTATAGTGGGCAACATGGCATTCACGGGAACAGATCAAACAACTTTTTAAAGTATACTTGCTAGTAAAAGTGGAATAATTCAGAATAACACACTGATAGATTAGTTGCAAATTGGTTTTAACAAACCAAAAGAACTTAAAAACTTAGTTGTGGTGCTCACGAGCCTAGTCACAAGTGGACGGCAAAAGAAAACACAAGTTCACTATTAAGAAAGTTAAAGCTAATAGTTAAAAAGACTTAATACTACTGTATAGGGGGAAAATGCCTAAAATGTTAGCTAAATCCCCTAATAAATAAAAGGGAGCTTTAAAAAACTGTTGGCAAGAAACAAAAGCAAAGCTGCAAAGTCAAGCTGGGTCGGTGAAACACCCCACTGCCCGTCCTCGGTGGTTTTTAACATATGCATTTTCTTCATAGTTTTGTCATATGTATACAAATTTTTCTAAAGTCTGATTATTTCTTTAGCAAAAAGTTACTATTTTTTCTGAGATCAACACCTGGTTTCGTTTTTTGGGTTTATCACTTCAAATATGTACAGTAGATGATTTTAATAATTAACCTTAACCTCCTCAATCAGTAGTGGGAGGTTACTTCCATCTTGAGTCTTTTTAACAAAGATCCACTGTTTTCCCATTTACATGTAACAGTCTTATTCACCAAGATTGTAAAAGTTGAAAAGTGGAAGAGGGCATGTACTGATCTGAATGAATACCCAAATATTAAGATTCTAGAAGCTATTTTGTGTATACATATATCATCAACTAAATAGTCGGCATGAAGGCTCTCAAATACTTGGTCCACCTATTTATAGAGTACACAACTTTTTTTTGGCAAAAGCTAAATGGAAAACGTACTCTGTATTATTTAGGGTTTGGTACTAGTTCCTTTTGTTGTGCAACCATCTATATATAACTTTTATATATACATTTATATTGATAACTCTAAACTCTTAAGTGAGTCGTTAAAAATAAAAGTAACATTTTCAGGCCTTCTCATATCATCTCTTGGTTCATAATCTAGTTTGTTGAGTGCCGACGCTACGATCTATCTATTATGAAATTCTGTTGTTAACACTTATAAATTAACATAATTCAAATTTTTTTTTGGTCTCTGTCCATCCTTGTATTAGTAAACGTAATCATCTATTGCTTATTTGGAAGGTCTTATATCATAAAAGAGTGAACAAGGCGTTCTCGAGGTAAAAACAGAATGAAACTCTAAAATTTTCAAGAACTCTCATAAACCGTACCCGATTTTTCAAAAATGGGCAATGATGGGATGTATCATACTTATTAATTTTGGATTCTCAAGCTGCCTTTTGTTATCTTATTTTCTTCTTTACAACATTTTTATAACCCACATTGTCAAAGAGGTCGGCTTTGATCCCATGATTGTAATGAATGGATAGCTTGAATACTGCAACCACCACACTGAGAATTCCCGTCAGACACTTGTTTAACTTAAATGATCTTACACACGTATTCTACAAACGGCCTTTTGAATATGTATATATATCAATTCGCTATTTTATACCAAATTACATGAATCTTATTCCTTAAAAACACTATCATACTAAAAAATATATATAACCATTAGCAAAAACATTCCCTCTCCACTAGAAACCAAAACTTATAAATAATGAATAAAAGCAGTCTAATAATTAACAGGTAAAATTAATTAATCACATCCGTCGGTTGCCATCATTCCAAAACCTTAAAAAAAAACTATGTAAAATGATCATTAAAAAAAAATGTTAAACAGAGTCCAAAGCATCGTCACATCTCTGCCCATAAATACCCTTCACCGACTCACCATCTCACCACATCAATTCTCCCATCTCTCTATCTCTCCCTGTATTGAATAATATCATAATATTACATAAACACACTCTTAAGTTTGGTGACGAAGCAAGGAGAAGAAGACAATGATGAAGGATGTGGTTGGGGACAAGAGATCTTTCTCGGGAAAAGACTATCAAGATCCACCCCCTGAGCCTCTATTCGACGCTACTGAGCTTGGGAAGTGGTCTTTCTACAGAGCTCTCATCGCTGAGTTCGTAGCCACTCTCCTCTTCCTCTATGTCACCGTTATGACTGTCATCGGTTACAAAAGCCAGACCGATCCTCATCTCCATCCTGACCAGTGTGCAGGTGTTGGCCTTCTCGGCATCGCCTGGGCCTTTGGTGGCATGATCTTCATCCTCGTTTACTGCACTGCCGGCATCTCTGGTTCGTCTCTTCCTCTCTTTCTGTTTTGTTTTCATATGGTGTATATTTTTTCCTACATGTTGATTTCTTGTAAAAAAAATAATATATAGAATTATTAGTTATATGTTTATTTCCATACATGTTGATTTCACTTTCTTGTTCCGTTTGGATTCTTTTTTGTTATTTTGTTATATGTGATGATCACTCATTTGTAATAAAAATTCAAGTTTAGTTTGGTGTGGTTTTAATGCTCACATAAATGTTTTTGGTTCAACGTACTAGGTGGGCATATCAATCCGGCAGTGACTTTTGGGCTGTTGTTAGCTCGGAAAGTGTCGTTGGTGAGAGCAGTGATGTACATGGTAGCTCAGTGCCTCGGTGCCATTTGCGGTGTGGCTTTGGTCAAGTCCTTCCAGTCTGGCTACTACAACCGCTACGGTGGCGGTGCGAACGGTCTCTCCGATGGTTACAGCATCGGCACAGGTGTTGCAGCCGAGATCATCGGTACATTCGTCCTAGTCTACACAGTCTTCTCAGCCACTGACCCCAAGAGGAGTGCGCGTGACTCTCACGTCCCTGTAAGTCCCATTATCTTGCCGTTATGATTATTCATTTAAAAGGAATGTGATATGATTATGTCACAACAGAGACATTTAGTCAAGGTTTAGATAATTTATCAACTCACCACATTAATGGAAACAGTAGAATACTCGTGTCCTATACGGCGTATCTATTTCTTAGCATTAAAGATTTAGCTCGTGGAAACTATTAGAAAGTATCTCATCAGCCTGCCTAGAGGAGAATTAAAATTCATATTACGTTACGAAAGAATAATAGAGACTAGGAGATATCACGGATATATTGCGAGTGTAACTTCTAGATTCTTCGTATTATAATAAAACCACACAAAGGACATGGATCATTTAATCTTTTTGTCTTTCACGCCTCTCTCCACCATCGTATACTCTGTATGTCCTTTGTTTGTACATGGTCCCAACTCCAGTTGTAACTAGGCACGTATACTTTTTCCAAACATAACTACTGTATACGAATAAATATTTTGGACTATATACTATTTGTCTCGTGATTAATAACATCTTCAGTTTTCTTGTTGTTGGTGTGGTGTGGTGTGGTGATTGAAGGTATTGGCTCCATTACCAATTGGATTTGCAGTGTTCATCGTTCACTTAGCTACAATCCCAATCACGGGCACTGGCATTAACCCTGCGAGAAGTCTCGGAGCTGCAATTATCTACAACAAGGACAAAGCTTGGGATCATCATGTACGTTACTATATCGTATACATTACTTCTTCGTCTTCCCATGTTAGTATATTAGACAAGACTTTAATATATTAATGTTTTTCTATCGTTACGTACAGTGGATATTCTGGGTGGGTCCGTTTGCGGGTGCAGCCATTGCGGCTTTCTACCATCAGTTTGTGCTGAGGGCTGGTGCGGTTAAGGCCCTCGGATCCTTTAGGAGCCAACCTCACGTTTAACTTTGATATATGGTCTCTTCCACAAGTATCAAAGAGAGCAAAAACAGAGGACAATAAAGAGAGACCTTTTTTTTATCTATGTAGATTGGTTGGAGCCAAGAAGTGACGTGTAGTAATCTAATTTCTAGCTTTGGTGAGGAGAGATTTTGAAGTGTATACCACATGTGGGCCAACTTTGAATTGCTACTTCTATCATTAAATTATGTCTACTCTATTTATTACTTTGCTAGTTGCTTATGAACCAACTTATTAAGTACCAAATGTTTCACGTGAAAGTGAAAACAAAAAAACAGTGGAGTTGTTAAGTCTCAACTCAAGACAACAAGTAAAGTAAAAAAACTTCAATTGTTTCAATCAAACTACGTTGTGGTAGTTCCCTTTAGTTTGGAACTTGGAAGGGTAATCTCACTCATAGATGTTGTTGGCAAATGGCGACAGGGTAGTGGATTGGACGGTGATGGAAAAGACTTATCGAGAGGTCAAATAAAGTGGCCATCAACCTCACCGTAAAGGAGGAGCTTAACAATGACAACTTTGTGTTTCATGCGCATATTTGATAAAGTGAACTCACACATGATGAGAAAAATTGGCAGGTTTCGCAGAAATCAATCAATGAACAAGCTAACTACCTCTCTCTATTTCCTACCAACTTCATGTTCAAAAAGTAAGAGTCTTAACTAATCGTAATCTTTTGTAAACATGTTGTATGAGATTAAGATGGTATAGCCTATGTTTTTGGAGATAAATTGGGAACTGAATTGTTTTATCTTGCAGAGTAAGTATAGATTACAGTCAATTTTCATAATCCTAAAAAAAAAAGCGAATTTCGTAAAATTTCCATATTCTTCATCCAGCGAATATGTATAGTTTGCCAAAGCAAATTGCTTCAAGCTAAATTTGGTATTTTTTTTGGGTATATTTTCTTCCCAAGCTCTACTATAGACATATTTTTTTCCCTGTACCAAAATCTTTTGGTATATATTTTTTTAAAAAGCATTTGATGAGTGATTTACAATTTTTATATGCTTTATAATTTTTTAGTCGGCTGTTATATTAAAAAAAAAAGTAGATATTTTTAAATACATATTAGAATTTAATTCACAAACTCCATTTCCTTTTTCCTCAAGCAAAAATTAAAATAATGGCCAAGAAAAAGAATTTAAAAAGGTCGCTAATTATTAAAATAAAATGTAGGTTGCGAATCCAAAATTTCACGAAAATAGAAGGGTCGAGTTCCCAACTCTCTCTCTCTCTCTCTCTCTCTCAGCTTGTGCTTGTCGCCGAAGAAGAAGAAGAAACAGGTCGTCAATGGCGGCAAGGTTGCTTGCTTTGAGACGCGCTTTGTCTCTCTTCAGTAACCAACCACATCGAATCCCTTTGTCTCAAGGTCTCATCTTTTTCCTTCTCTAGCTGCGTTTTCTTCCCTAATTTTTTTTTCCCAAAATCACAAACTTTGATTTTTCTCTGGTTCAGATATGTCTTCGTATCATAACTTAGCTGGTGTGTTTTATTGAACAGTAATAGTTGTTGGTGTTACAAAAAAAAAGGATTTTTTTCTTTCAATTCTTTGTCCTCTTCGTTAAAATTAGTGTATTGACATTATGTGAAAATTCTGGCACTTGAGCTAAAACGGGTGGTAGCTTGAAATTGTAGAAGTTGTATTGTCTAATTGCCTCCAGATATTACTAATGAATTTAGTTGAGAATCATGTAGCACTTGTGGTTGTTTTATGTTATGATTTTACACTTAGAAGGGGATTTTGTATAAATTGGGAGGTTGGGTAATAGTTTTGGGGGAGTTTTTGGTACTGGGTTGTTTTGTTAGCCTTAAGGGATTTGGAACATTAGTGATGATGAATCTAGTAGTCACATGTTTAACATCTATTATCGTCTTTGCTCTGTTACATTTTGGACTTAGAGAAGGCCTAAGTAACTGAAGTTATGAACTCGCATAGACGTCCCTTGTCTTGAACATATATATGCATTGGAACATTGGGTGTGTCAAAAACACTGGCTTTTTAGTAAGACAATCGTCAAGTTTTTCGAGCTTTTTTTCCCCCTGACTAAGATGCGTTAGCATGGGTTAAGTTATTCCATTTCCAGTACCTGCACATGTAATCTAAACATTGTTTGGATATTTGTCTGCTTGTTCTTCTCTTGATTTTAGCTCTTATGAAACCACTCCATTGCTGACTTGTCACCAATACTTTACATATGTTAGCATGTATCTTGTTTTCATAATGAAATTCTAGTATAAGATCTGATCTTTGTTGCAAACGTTATCCTTGGAGATTCTTATAATGGCCTGTAATGATACTAACTGTTTTAGCTACCTGCAACTACAACTACTGTTTACTTTTATTGATCTTTCTCTACTATTTTTTTTTCATGAGAATAGTCTCAACAGAGCAGTTGTCGCTATCAAACTCACTCTTCAGGAGGAATAATGTATATGGAAGATTATTTCAGAGACAATTATGTGTAACCCGTGAGGCTAAAGAAACTTCAGTAACCAATGGCTGCAACTCCTCAAACTCTGCTACTGAATCGGCCGAAGTTCCTTCCCCTGTGACCGCCTCTGAGGAACTGATAGTGAAGTACAAGTCCCAGTTGAAAATAAACCCGAGGCATGACTTCATGATGGTCTTTACTTGCAAGGTCTGTGATACAAGATCTATGAAAATGGCGAGCCGAGAATCATATGAGAAAGGAGTTGTGGTGGTACGATGTGGAGGATGTGATAATCTACATTTGATTGCAGACCGTTGTGGTTGGTTCGGGGAACCAGGAAGCGTGGAGGACTTTCTTGCTTCTCGTGGGGAAGAATTCAAGAAAGGATCAATGGATTCTCTTAACCTTTCACCTGAAGATTTAGCTGGAGGAAAGATGTCCACCGAATAGAGAGAACTCTTCTTTGCTTTTGCTAATTAAGTATTATGGAACGGACCTTCACATTATGTTCCAGTAAATTTACATTTTCTTGTAGTTCAGTGTTTGGTATATTGAAATGCAAAAGACGTTATACAATCATGTGTTTGGAATGTTCCATATAAATTGAGAGTTTCTATTGATTTAGGACAAAAACAACAATCGCAAGAGAGACAAAATAATAATATCTCAAGACTGATCTGTTTTATGTGTTCAACTTCTCGATGATCTTTGCAAGGGCTGAATATGTGCCAATGACTGAACATACTGCTCCTACTATCATAATTAAGATACAGATCGTCACCTACAAAGAAACCATATCTTGTTACTTTGATTTCAGTATGAAGAAATTCGATTTTCAGTTTGACTATCATAAATAAGCTGGCCATACCTGAGTAGGGGTTACTTTACTCCTTACAATGCTTAAGAAACAAGCAGGAGGTAGTATCAGCGTCTGTGTCCAGAAATTTTGTCAGGCTTATTCAAATTCATTTATGAAATTGCGTACAATACGAATTGCTTTGCATAACCAGAAAAAAGGATGAAACAGCTGTATGTAACTTACAATGAGCATTGTCAAGAAAGATCCAATCAATGACATAACGAGGCCTGCAAGTTACTCAAATATCACTATAAAACGTATCTCTATAAGACTATAAAATTGCAAAAGAAGTGAAATCTTTTTCTTTACCGAAGAAGGGAATCGCAAGACCAACGAGCAAAGTAGAGAAGGCTAATGCACTTCTAATGGTGATTGCGTAGAAACGTGACTTCCCATGGTTTGATGGTATTAACTCCTCAAGACTCATCGCAACTGGAGATAATGTCAAAGCATATGTGCTTTCTTTCCGTTAAGACTATACAATTTTCCAGTTTTAAGAATAAGCTAATGCAAAACTAGAGAAATAAGTGAAAAGTTTCTGAATATTTAGTGAATATTTCTTAAGAAAGGATATTTCGTAAATGGATTAACTACCTGCAAAGAAGTAAAAAACGAAGTCTTAGGTGACCATATCAAGCTAGCAAATCTAGTGTATTTTGTGAAAATCATTTCCATATCATGAAATAAGTAGAGGAACGATGAAAAAACAAACTTACTGTAGTCCACAAAGCAATCTTAGATGCAACCAAATCTTGAGGCATGTTAAGAGTAAACTGTGATTCTGTTGATTCTCCAAACATGCTATATCCCATAACAGCAACACCCGCATACATCAGAGTACATATTCCAAAGCTGAGGAAAAAAACAAAACTAAAAACATCAGACAACAATGTTAAGACTTTCCATAGAATTGTAATGTGAAGATTACCAAGTCAAGAGAACAGCAGGAAACTGAGAGGGTTTGGCCATAGAGGTGTAAATGTTAGGGAAAACACCATGTCCTGAGTAACAATAACCATATAGTCCAACAGAAACAGGTAACGTTGCGAGGTTCAGAGGGGTTCCTTTGCTGTGAATTCCAACATCATCAACCACACCAATCCAAAACAAGCACAAAACCACCAACACTGATGCAATCACCCCTCCAGCTGCAAGATTAAGTAAGTATATATAATCCATTTATAATATATGTATTTCAAAAAGGAATCCTTAAAAGATCCAAAATATAATAATCTATAGTCTTAAATGTTTTATACCGGAAATGTAACTTAGAACGCTGAGATCTCGAAGCCAAACGGTTGGAAGAACAGCGAGGGTGGTAAGCAGAGCAAATAGATGAGGTGCATCTAACTGAAACCCTCCAATACTTAGAGTGGCATTTGGAAACATTGATGAAAGATTATCACTTTCCAAAATGATGTATTCAACACTCATAGCCTGCATGCACATTAAAACATACATATCACTTTCCAAAATGATGTATTCAACACTCATAGCCTGCATGCACATTAAAACATATATCACTTTCCAAAATGATGTATTCAACACTCATAGCCTGCATGCACATTAAAACATATATCACTTTCCAAAATGATGTATTCAACACTCATAGCCTGCGTGCACATTAAAACATATATCACTTTCCAAAATGATGTATTCAACACTCATAGCCTGCATGCACATTAAAACATACACATCAAACTTTGTGTAACTAACTTTATCATTTCACAAGAACATTCAGAACTCATCTAATAAGACAAAACAATTGTATAATTTTCTTGTCGTATTACCAGTTGTGGTTAACGATTTTTCAACTTTGAAAAAAAAAAAAAAACCCAAATGCTCCATCAATGAAACACAATGGACCCTGAGCAAAGGTGTTGTCTACTTTACAATGTGGTCCAATGTTTTGACTAGAGATTCATTTTAGTTAAATTAATAACAAATTGTATTTTGTCTGTATTTATATCAAATATAAAGCAAACTATTGGAGGAATTGCAAGTTGTACTTACATAGAGCTCCAGATAGAGTATTATCTGCAATCCAAAGCAAACAAAAAAGAGGAAAATTATAAAGCATGACATTATTGATATCTAATAAACCTCAACATTTATAATTTATATGATAAGTTTACTTACGGAGACAAGGATGCGACCGAAGGAGCCGAAGGCGGCATGGCCAATATCGGGATAAGTCTGAAGGTCGGGGTGGCTATCGAGACAGTAACGCAAAAGCAGACCAGTATAAAAGCAAAGAATGCCAAACGCAAAGAGAATGATAAGTCCTAACCATCCTCCTTCCTTCACAGCATATGGTGTTGACAATATTCCAACCCCACATAGAACATTCACTCCTGCACATGTATGTCGTAACCCAGAGAAGTTTAACTAATTAAGGTTTAGTGTCAGAGAACAGAGCAGACTAGTCAGATTTTTTTTGTTGTACACCATCCACAAGTTTTGATAGTATTGTCTGTAGCGGATATAACTTTCGGAAAAAATGGACTAAACTATTTATCTTTTTGCCGGACAACATGTAAGACAATTTGGGGTTACATATGTTTTAACCAAAGTGTTAGATCTCTTCTTTAATTAGTATATAACTTCAAGTTATCACTTTAGAATGAACTAAATATTTAAAAGCATAAGTATTTTGCCCCAAAAAAAAAGAGAGCATAAGTATTATGAAAAACTAGTGAGTGGATCAAGTTATTTTCGTTATCTTTTTTTTTCCTATGTGCGAATCAAAAAATGGGAATATAATGGTAACAAAAAAAAGTCTTGGTCGTGATGAAACTCACCATTAAGAACAGCCTGTCCAAACGAGCTATCTTTGGAGATTGCCATTTCATGAGACACCATGGACAATGGTTTGGACGGAAGCAGGAAATGAGAGCTACGTTTATGCTTTGGTGCTTCTTCATCTACTAGCAGAGGTTTTGTAACACAAGGTAATGTTTCCGGAGTATGTCTTCTTGTCAGAGTGGTAGACAAGAAAGAGCTTCCTAATCTCGACATTGAAGAGTTAGCCAGAAAACCCAAGTTGGGTGATGGTACACTTCCATACATATCAATCGACTGCCTATAACATTTTGTACATGAGAATTGTAATAATTGGTGAAAGTTCACAAATCAAAAGAGAGTGAGAAGTTTTAAAGATAAATCATAATATGTACCTATAACTCTTTGGCCATGCCGTTGAGTATGGGCTGGCTTTAGGGTGATCATGATGGTTTTGATTGTAAGCGTCATGAGAAAAATCAGACAAGGTCCCGTCGTCTTGTTCATCTTCGGACAAGTTCTTTCTCTCGTCGTCTCCTTCATCGCTCTCAAGGTAGAGGCTCTGATCAGAAGTTGAGTGATTCATTCTCTCTCACAATCCTTAATTATCCGGTTTATGGATGCTACTAAGGTTTCACAGAATCTTTTAATTAAATCACACAAGAAAGAAACAAAAAAAAAAAAAAATGGATTCACAAAGTAGGAGTCTAGGGGAGTGAAAGGGCAAAACGAAAAACTTTGTCGAGGACAACTAGAGGGAGTAAAGAGCCGTTAAAACGTGAGTCATTCATATATATCAGTGTTTAACCATGGTTAGGTCAAGTTTGTAACTATAGTTCACTGAATACTGTATATGAATTGATATGCATTATCCTTTTATAATTCACTGAATATGAGAAATAATGATATATTAGTTTTAAATTCTCATTTCATTCTATATTAAAAAAGTGCAAAAGTGGTAATAAATAATTTTTTTTTTCAAAATTTCCTTCCAATAAAAAATAAGGTAACTACGGTTATCTATTTATATTATTATCATTCTATATTTTATTTCTTTGTCACCAGAGATAATAGTTATAGTAAGAAAAAATGGTGTATACATATAAGAAGAGAAATACAAAAACACAAATTAATATTGTATTAAGGCTTCATATATGTTAAGTGCACACAAACTAATATTCATTTTACTCTCTTCTACCAAAAAAAAAGAACTAATATTCATTTTAACACAATACTTGTTATAAGATTCAGCTATTCGTATTTTAGGGTATTAATGTTGGTTTAATAAAGATAAACCTATTGGCGAGGGTAGAACCACTTCCACATGGTGTGTGGATCTGTTTGTGTGATAATTTTGGAAGTTTGTAATTATGTTAGGATGGAAATATTTTTGAAACCAGAAACTCAAGAACATGTCCGTATTTGATCAAAAACAGAAAAAAAGAACATGCCCACATTTAATCTCTTTTTATTCGCCGCTTCCAGCTATATAAAAATATCTTCATGATCCTCACATGCTTTCTTATTCATTATAGTTATTTTTCAATCATTTTGCCAAGTAAGATATATGTGTTTATCACGTACTTGGTTGTTTTGGGATTACTTCACACTTGTGCATTATGATTTATGATGCATGGCCGCATGGGTCATGTTAATATCTGTGTACCAGGTGATAAGAAGCTTGACACAATGCAAACACGAAACACCGATCGATTCCTAAGCTTTTATAATACTACGTAAATATTATCATTATGAAGTTGTATCATTGTAGTGTCTGATTATTCTTTAGTAAATCTTAGTAATGTAAATAAGATAGAGATCTAGCTAAACCGGGTTGAGTGTAAATCCTTTTTATTGAAGTCGATGTCAATCTCTTTCCAGTGCCAGTACAGAAATATATACTATAGTCGACAAGATCACAATTCTCTCAGATATGACAATTAAACAACCAAAACAACTAATTAATAATCTGATCAAATCACTAATGATGATGTTTCTTACAAAGATGATCTGTAGGTTTTATTCGTAAACAAGTATGAAATAGTAATTAATATACTATGCGAAAAAAACTTGAGATATCGAGATTGATCTTAGCTAGAAATGAGTTTTGGTTGGGTCTTGTAGTTGTCTTTGTCAACCAGCTAATTTACTAAAGGGAAGGGTTTGTGTTTGAATTCACTCTTTCGGTTTATGTTTTGAGATTCATATATATAACAGTTGGCTTTATAGCGCTTTGTAATAAATTACCACCTGAACAATTTTCTAGATTATAGAATAACTTTTGAAATACGTTCTTTTTCGTCTGAGAATACATTCAAGATCCGCAAAGCCAAAATGTCTTAGACTTAGCTAGATACATATATCATATTTGAGAGTTTCAGAAAATACAAAGCGATTACATTTTCCACTATGTTTGCCATTCCTCTCATCTTGAAACTCGTTGCTGATAACGTAACGACTCCCTCTAGGAATATTGGGCTCAGTATCATGATGATGCACCAAGTCCTTTGTAAAGTCTTCTTTAACCAAGTAGAGCTAGTAAAGAATAGTTTTGGTTATGTTGTAACATACACACAAAAACAAAGATATATCTAGTTACAAACTTACAATATTTGATTTTGAGGTTAAGAAGTTTGTTTTAATCATCCGGATACAAATTGAAATAGAAGATTTCTGTAGGATTTTTTTTTTTTTTTTCATCGAGCAAAATATCGCAAAAGCATAATATCAAAGATTGAGAAGCTTGTAAGCAAAACATTGGTACTCGTGGCAGGCATTAAGAACAACTCACTCATCTTAAGTACCGGTACATTAGACATGAGATTACAACATTTGATGTGTCATCATCATCCACATGTTGGTCTCTTATTGGTTTACATGGTTAGATCTCATAGATTATGTAGTTGTAGTAACACAGAGAAGATCTAAGCATGAGGTTAATTTAACACGTGTCAACTTTAGATCAGCCTTTGGGATCAAATTAGGTGCACAATTAGATTCTCCCTCTTTTCTCATGTTTTGTTCTGCTGCTCTCTTTATCCACGTCGGACATAAAATATTTATTTGCAGTTATTTTTATTTCATTATTCTTACACATAAGATAAGAAAAACATATTTTGTTATGATGAATTTATTTACTTATTAGATCATCTATAGTAAATATCCCCACAAAGACACTTGTTTAAAAATCTAAATTTCAATGTCGAGTTAGCAAGTATGATTGTAGTAAACCCTTTCTAGCCAGTTTCATATTTTTATTTGTTAATATGACCTTTTTTATTGTCAACTATTTCTGTGACAGTTTTTGTATTGTTTTATGTCTTTTTTTCTTCATATTTCCTCCAATAAAAATCGGATCGTATCGTGGCATTATGACTTGGAAAATCAAAGTTTGGAGAAGGTTTGGAGTAATTAATGAGAAGCACGAGCACTATCAAAAAAGTGTTGTATGTGAGTTGTTCTATTTCAACGCCGACCATGCAAGGATACACATACGTAACTTTGGTCAATACAATTAAAGATCACAATTCACAAGCAAATGTACACACCCATATATATATAGAGCATATACATTTTCCTCATCAAGAACACAAGAAACTATAGCGCAAAGATCGATAGCTAAACTCAGTAAATGCCGAGCTACATTTCTTTCCTTGTGTTGTTGTTCTATATATTTCTTTCCTTCTCTTCTCCACGAGCAAACTTTGTATGTGCATCGAGGCCTTTGTTAGAACCAAATTATCCAGGCCAAGCGAGCACGAATACCATCTACACAAGCGGTGGCGATCAACAAGGCACATTCCGCGGTGGATCGATGATTAACGATTGTTTGCCAAAAGGGTTTCACTTTAACTCAGCTCCTAGCCGCTACATTAACAATCATCCTTTAGGCTCAACACTTTGTTCAACAACAGAGAAAGCCATTCCTAAGCCATAAAGTGATGAATCCTTCTAAACAATAATATCTCATGAAATTTGTATGCATGTATTTATATATTTCACCTTTTTTTTCTTTTAAATATTTGTTTGTTTTTTTCTTCTCTATGCTTGGGTTATTTATTGAATAAAACCCATGTATGTATTCTTTAATTAATTGTGTGTTGTATTCTTCTGTAAAAAATATAAACAATGTTACATACTATATGAAAGAAAAACAAAGGGTGAATTTATAGATAAAGTTGTTGTTTAGAACTAATCAACAGAATTCGTTTTCTTTAATTAGTTCTCACAAAAAAAGTGTCGTGCTCTGAATTGCAATCGATAACTAAGTATGAGATGTTCGAAGAGTTTCAGAGCAGTGGTCATCTTACTAAAATACCAATAACTAAACAAATCGTTTTTTTTGTTTGTTTGTTAATAAGCTAACTAATCGTCTTCTAATTTCAGTAATCCATGCTAGTATTAATTTAGCAATGAGCCAAATTAATAATTATTGTTAATTTTTATCACCATCTTAGAAATTTACATAGTGTATATGATGAGTTGTTTTTCTTGATATATATTTTTGTATTTGATGTAAATACATATTGTTCATAAGTTTGTCGAAAAAGGAAAAATCCATCATGTATCCTGAAAAAAATGGAAACATCTAAATAATTTGGAAAATTGGTCTTTATAAAAGAGCCTTTAGTAAAGAAAAAAAAAAAAAAAAAACCAAAATCCATAAACGCTGGTTTGGTATTTGGTAAAGTCAAGGACGATAGAAAAAAAAAAAAATCGAATCGAAATTTTTTATTTGACGATCCTTTCTTCTTCTTCTTCTTCTTCTTCTTCTTCTTCTTCTTCAACTCGGTATCATCGACGACGACGACCAAAGCTTGAATACGATCTTTCTCAGCTGTAATCTCATTTATTAATAAGGAGTAAGCTATGGGTTGTGCTGCTTCTCTTCCAGGCAAGTTTTGTTTTTTTTTCGTTTGTTCTTTCTGTAATTTGTTGAATTTTGAATTTGTTTCTCGGTGTTGGAAGAAAAAGTGAGAATTCATAGAGACCCTCGAGTAATTTCATCACCAATTTTCATAATCTGAGGTTGAATTAGAGAAGCTTCCCCAAAATTGGGGATTTTAATGATTTGGTTAGGGTTTCCGAAATCACTGTGTGTGTTTTTGTGTAGCAGAGAGGAACTCTGGAACGTTAAGTGGTCTTAACAATTCCGAGAATGCTGTTTCAGCTGATGCCAAAAATCTACGTGTGAAGGTGCGGTTTTGTTTTTGCTCTCAATTTTGAGAATGTTGATCTCAAGACAAGCCACTAAATTTTGGATTCACTTGAATGCAGTTAGTTCTGCTAGGTGATTCTGGTGTTGGTAAAAGCTGTATTGTTCTTCGATTTGTCCGTGGTCAGTTTGACGCTACATCTAAGGTATGTAAAACCTTGCTATATAATTGTTTCTGTTTACCTATCTTACACTCTTTGTTATGTGTCATGTGAATGGCTGTTACTGTACTCTTATCTGCATTGAATCTCAAAACTACTAGTTATGTGTATCAGGTAACTGTTGGAGCCTCGTTCTTGTCCCAAACAATAGCCTTGCAAGACTCTACCACAGTGAAGTTTGAAATATGGGATACAGCTGGCCAAGAAAGGTGTTAAATTCTTTACAAAGATGATTTTTTTTCTTTTCTGGCTTAGTTTATTTGTTAGATAAACGCTTTGCCTGCTTACTAGGACTAATCTGTATTCACTTCATTTTATAGGTATTCTGCTCTTGCACCACTATACTATCGTGGAGCTGGGGTTGCTGTTATTGTATATGATATAACAAGCCCTGAATCATTCAAGAAAGCACAGTATTGGGTTAAGGTATGTTTTCATGGGGTTCAGAGGTGTTCCATTTTCTATATGTTCTTAGGATTCATGCAATAGCTTCTGAGCTATTATTCTGTTATGACTGAAATTTTACATGCGAAAAATTCTATAACCATAGAAAGAGTAAAAAACCTATTTGCTGTCCTTGGACCCATATGATTGAAACATTGATTTACCCATATTCCTCCAACTTGGCATCTATATGATTATGTATGATTCCTCCAAAGTATTACATCATCACACAGTTTTCTTACTCAAAAATAGATATTACCAGGATATCTTACTGCGATTGTTGACTTCTCTGACATTTTTGTCCTAATAATTTGCACACTGGTTCAATACCATAAAACCATTTGGTACAACTCCGTGTAGGAAATGTATTAAAGTGATATTGAATCTAGTGTTTTTGCTTACCCCGGCCCTTAAATCTGACAGGAACTGCAAAAGCATGGAAGCCCAGATATTGTAATGGCTTTGGTTGGTAACAAAGCTGATTTACATGAAAAAAGAGAAGTACCAACCGAGGTGAGTTTGCATAAACTTCTTCAACCAGATTCAGTAGAACATTTTGTTGTCATTTGCTTATTCAGCGCAAACCACATCTTCTCTTAACAGGATGGGATGGAGCTTGCAGAGAAGAACGGAATGTTCTTTATTGAGACGTCAGCTAAGACAGCTGATAACATAAATCAACTGTTTGAGGTATGCATTTCTTTATTGCCTCTGGATTATGATGATTGTCTTGTTATCTGCATTTATTGAGCTCTTGTGATCCGTTTCTGTGATTAACTTGGATTTGGAGGATGAAAATGTGATAGCCAGTGAGATCTTTGGTTAATGATTGTGTTTTCTTATCCTTTTCTTCCAGGGTTCAGTTTTATAACTTGTTGAAAAAGAGCCGTATAATAGTTATTTTGAAATAGTTTTTGGTGTATATGGATTTAACTTGTTTGGAGTGTACATTGTCTGATAGGAAATTGGCAAAAGGCTACCTCGTCCTACTCCTCCGTCATGATTGGAGTGTTGAATCATCCAATCTCATCTTCAGGGAAAGCAACAGTTAAAACCTGTTTCTGGACAACTAATCGTTTCATACTTTTAAATGTAATGTTTTAACAACAATATTTCTCTATCTGTCAAGTGTGTTGTATAATGTGAAGATTTGAGGTTGATTGATACTGGGGAATATATTACAAACCTCAAAAGTGGAAACCCAAGTTAGATTTAGCAATGAACCATCAACACATATAAGAGTGGGATTCATGTGATTCCATCAGAAGAAGAGAAGAGTAAAGCTTAGTTGAAATGATTAATACATATATTATTGTTGACCAGTTCAAAGAGACTATAGAACAGGTCGAGAGCCATATAAAGTATAAACGCTCATTGCACTTCACATGAGATTATTCTTTATACGCGGAACTAGACCTCTCAGAGCTCTCGTGGCCAAAGGTTTTGATTTTTGATTATTTCAAATGCCAATAGAATTCTCTTATTATTGACTTGGTCAACCTTGATAATATACTCAGTACAAATTTATAATTAAGGCGATTAGTATAATTAAATACACAATAAACATGAATAAAAATTCAATGCTTAGATATAAACTTAGAAACGACAACATTTTTTTTTTTTTTTTTTATGTTTGGTCTGAAAATGGACAAAATGCGACAACAGTATTTACTGTCACGTTCGGAGATACTGTATTAATAGTTTGTGTAATGATGCCTTGTAACATTGTCGTTTTTAGTTCCTCCGTCACCAAATTCCTATTTTGTTTCTTCTTCTTCGTTTCTTTAAAACCCTTTGAGAATCCCTGGAGAGCAAAATCTAAGGGATGGAATCAACGAATTGTTCCCACGAGGAGCTGATTAGTCGACTCATTGACTCCGTCAAAGAAATTTCTGGGTTTTCGTCTTCTAGGGGCTTCATCGGGAGGATCCAAGGCGATCTTGTTCGTAGGATCACGCTTCTCAGCCCTTTCTTCGAGGAATTGATTGACGTCAATGTAGAATTGAAGGACGATCAAATATCTGGGTTTGAGGTTATGGGAAACGCTCTTGATTCAAGTCTTGAGCTATTTCGATCGGTCAATGGAGGAAGCAAGCTTTTTCGGGTTAACTACTCATTACTTGCTCTCTTCTTTATTTGTAACTCACTGGTAGCTGGTAAAGTTAGCAATTTTCTCTATTTCTATTCGAGGGTTTAAAGATTTTGGTGTTTGATTTTGGGTTGAACCGATATTGAATTGAGTATTTGAGTCTGCCATAGCAGGGGAAGGATCGACGTATTTTGTTATTCATTTTTGGATCATAAGGTATCGTTGACGGTGAAGAGTCATATTGTTTTGTTTGTGACAACTGGCCATCATGGTTTTAGAATTCAGAAGCATTTCCTCTTATGCAAAAATATGTCACTTGCCATTGCTTTGGTGATCGATGATTTATGTAGAATTGTGGTTTGTGTATTTTTTTTTTGTTGTATGTGAGCTCATTGCCGTCTCTATAGCTCCAACAATTCACCTTAAATCAAAAAAGTTGAGACCTTTTTCGTGTTCTCTCTGCTGGCAGATTTTCGATAGGGGTTCTGTTGTGCAGAAGTTCCGCGACATGACAGTGGAGATAGAAGCAGCGTTAAGTCGGATTCCTTATGATAAGATTGAGGTATCGGATGAAGTCAGAGAACAGGTATTTCCCTAAGCATTGATTTTTGTGGTTTGAAGACAAATACTTTGCAAATATTTTTTTTGAAAATTCAGAGCGGTTTTTGTTTTCTGTTAGTTAAATCTATATGCTCTCTATTCGTAGGTACAGCTTCTGCATTTTCAATTTAAGAGAGCAAAAGAAAGGGGGGAGGAGTCTGATCTGCAGCTTAGCCATGATTTAGCCATTGCAGAGAAAGTGATGGATCCTGACCCTAAAATCCTCAAAAGACTAGCACAAGAGCTCCAACTCAGTACCATTGATGAGCTGAAGAAAGAATCGCATGCAATACATGAATATTTTCTTTCATATGATGGGGATCCTGATTACTGTTTTCAAAAGATGTCCTCACTTCTTAAAAAGCTGGTAGACTGTGCAACTATGGAAAGTTCAGAACCCGATACATCTACCGGCAACCGAATCATTTCGAGACATCGTTCTCCTGTTATACCAGAGTATTTTCGTTGTCCAATATCACTTGAACTGATGAAAGATCCTGTTATCGTCTCCACTGGCCAGGTCTGGTTTTGCAAGTTCCTTATGCATTGTAGTGAATTTGATTATGACGCTAGTTTATTTGTTATAACTGATCTTTTTGACCTTGTAGACATATGAAAGATCATCCATTCAGAAGTGGCTTGATGCTGGTCATAAAACCTGTCCGAAATCTCAGGAGACACTGTTGCATGCTGGATTAACCCCTAATTACGTGTTAAAGAGTCTTATTGGTCTGTGGTGTGAAAGCAACGGCATTGAGTTACCGCAAAATCAAGGTAGCTGTAGAACCACAAAACTAGGAGGAAGCAGCTCTTCAGATTGTGATCGAGCATTTGTCCTTTCCTTGTTGGAGAAATTGGACAAGGGTACTACAGAACAGCAAAGAGCTGCAGCTGGAGAATTACGGTTACTAGCCAAGAGGAATGTGGATAACAGAGTGTGTATCGCTGAATCTGGAGCCATACCACTCCTTGTAGAGCGTCTATCCTCACCAGATCCTCGAACACAAGAACATTCTGTGACGGCTCTTCTCAATCTTTCTATAAATGAGGGGAACAAAGGAGCCATCGTTGATGCAGGAGCCATAACGGATATAGTAGAAGTACTTAGAAATGGAAGCATGGAGGCTAGAGAGAACGCAGCTGCAACCCTTTTCAGTTTATCTGTCATAGATGAAAACAAAGTGGCAATAGGTGCTGCTGGAGCTATCCAAGCCCTTATAAGCTTGCTTGAGGAAGGAACCCGAAGAGGCAAAAAAGATGCTGCAACAGCGATTTTCAATTTATGCATATACCAGGGGAACAAATCAAGGGCGGTTAAAGGCGGTCTCGTTGGTCCTCTGACCAGATTACTGAAAGATGCAGGTGGTGGAATGGTGGATGAGGCTCTAGCCATTCTGGCTATTCTTTCGACAAACCAAGAAGGGAAAGCAGCGATAGCTGAAGCAGATTCAATCCCGGTGTTGGTTGATATTATTAGGACAGGGTCACCGAGAAACCGAGAAAATGCTGCAGCAATACTGTGGTATCTATGTATTGGGAATATGGAGAGGCTAAATGTAGCGAGAGAGGTTGGTGCAGATATTGCCTTGAAGGAACTTACTGAGAATGGAACTGATAGAGCAAAGAGGAAAGCTGCGAGCTTGTTGGACCTCATTCAGCAAATCGAAGGTGTTGCAGTATCCACTGTACCATGAAAGCGTCGCTCTTGTGGAATGTTGTTACATTTGTTTCAGTGTAGATTATGTGTATAGGTAACTTTTGATTAAGTCTGACAAAATAATCTTATGTGTAATATTTTGACTCAGATTTGTTTATAATCTTATTTGATATCTTTTTATAAACAAACCTTTCGTTTGCCTGAGTATCCAGTCGAGTTTATCAAGTTTATAGTACACATCTAATATAAAACAAATGTTTGTCTATTTAATTATGGAATATGTATCAAGATAACATCATTGATTTTGTACAAGAAGATCGTGTTATATCTCACTCCAAAAAGTAAAAACTGGAATACTCTACAACATTCGAATACTATTCAGTCTGCAACCAAAATGATCCAGAAGGGAAACAACGAGAAGCAAAAAATATATAAATAAACACAGGCTCAGAAGAGAAAAGACGAAACATAATGCTCTGTTACGAATCAGCCTAGTTTTTCCATGAATGTTTCTATCAATGTTGCGCCATTGACGATTTTTGTCGTAGCAATAATCAAATCATACGCCATTCCTTCCTGATAAATAATTATGCAGACAAGAGGATTCAGCGGACAAAAAAGAGTTGTCTTTTAACTATAAACACTTGAAGTTTGCATATTACCTTAGAGGCAAGATACCGCAGAGCAGAGATCTCGGCAAATGTTACACCTCCAATGAAGACAACAAGAACGATTGAGCGTCTACCATCAGCAACCCTGTAATGGTGTCTCACCATTAAAACAGTTCAATGTCTTAACGTCTTGAAGAATTTACATTTTGTGGCAGTAAACTAGTTGTGTGAGAAACTTACCCATTTGAAGCTCCATGCAGTGAATCAACTGATGGACTACTTGGGAATCCACTCTGCACAGAGAAGGTATATAGAGATATACATATTTGCAATCAAAAGTAGTCGAAAAGAGAAGATACAATAGCATAACAATTATGGAAGCCTTTTCATTTTTATCTCTCTAAATTAGGAAAAGGAGAAACTGTACTGACTCTTTTAGTTTCCAAATGTGGTCCAGGTAACAGTTTCAAAATGTCTTCCATAGGGCGCCTGTAAGGTAGATGGAGTCATCAAATAACCAATTCTTTCAACATTCATGTATAGATTAGTAAAAGCTCTCTCAAGTTCCGACATTTATGCTCAGTTTTTATTTTACTTCATGGTTATTTTCTTATTTAGGAAAGCCAAAGTGTTACACATAAGCAAAAATGTTGAGATAGAATGCAAGAACATACTAACCATCCAGAATGAATAGCTTGTTGGATAAGACGAATGCTAAGAGGAGCATATCCAGAATAGACATAAGAGATATCATTAGGCCTGCACAAGAAATTTATTTTCCTCACAACTCAAAACTTATTTAAGCACTTCACTTCATGGCTTGTAAAAGATGATGCAAGGCCTAGCAAATCAGTATTATCCGATGTATGTACACACAAAATGAAAGCAAAAAAATGTACCATATGAAGAAAAAAAAACACGATGATCCCAGACTACAAACGAGAAAACAATTTTGTAATGCTACGAAAACTGAATATACAAATGATAATGTTAGTTCATGCATCACAAATAGTCCTCATAGATCAACAAAAGTTGCAAGTCAAAAAAGAGCTTTCAAGTGCATTAGCGATTTGAAATGTAACATTCAGCCAATGCTGTTGTTAGATCATGCAGTAAATTTTACGAGGGGTATCTTCAAATATACAAGTGGAAATTTAGCTTTCGAGTTTGTATATTTCTGGAGTAGACATCTGGACCTACTTCATAAGCCTAATCACATTAACAAAATCAATGAAGTCTATCATGTACTCAGTAGGAGCATAAGGAAAAAATGATTACCTTGATGTATCAGTATCTTGAACTATAAGTTTCAGTGTCCGTTTCACTGTCAGCCAGTTGCTTTTAAATTCCTGCAGGAACCACAAAGGTACAACGAAGCCATTAGAATGTCAAACTAACCTAACCATAGAATAAAAGAAATGAACTCAATTCTAAACGGAAGCCAAGAACAACCAAACCTGCTTCTTCAACAATCCTGCTTTTTCTAAGTTGTTCAATGTGACTACATGCTCAAATCCATAACTGTGGAGTAGTTCCATTCTGGAAGTTGAGATCCAAAGACAAGATTTGATTAGAAAAAAGATAACTGAAATATACAATACAGAACGACTGATGGAAGCTTAACTTGCCTTATATAATCAAATTGCTTTTTAGGTAGCCCTGAGTTTGTAACAGAAAATAGAACTAATAGACGTAAGACATTAGTGAGAGGCTCTTGTTTATGGATCATCTCTTCTATGTACTCATAGCATCTGTTTTAAAAACTAGAGTTAGTAATAATCAATCATATCATTGATTTTAATATCCATTATGCTATCAAAGTTTTATGTTATATCACATCCCTTACATGTCATAACTTTCTGCCTCAACAAGTGTTTGTTCCATATCAAGTTGCGAAAGAAATGATTGCTTAGATGTGAATGTCGTCAGATGCTGGGCCAGATGTATGTGCCTCTGGGAAAGAAAAAACCATAACCAATTAGGTTGAAATGAAACTAATTGTGGTCTGAACGTCTGTAAGGTAAAAGAAAGGAAAGCAAGGAACGTAAAGAAAACAAAACAATACTTACTGTCATCTCTGGTAATGAGTTAAGCTTCTTAACAAAGTCCTTTAGCTCAGAAACTGTCTGGGTCTGCAGTAAAAAAACATACCCCATTCAAAATCTGGGTGTCTTACTACTAATCTAAAGGGGGGAATGTATGAATAGGCGGATCATTAGTTCTCTTAAGGCATAAAATGATTGATGGCTACGAAATTTGAAGATAAATATGACCATATAAACAAGACTACTAAAGGAAGAGAGAGAGACAAACGTACAGAATTAATTTCAGTGTAGTCCTCCTTCATAGACATTGCCTTCTGACGTAAAACCTGCAATCATACTGCCTCTGGAAGATAAGGAAATAGAATCCCATGTCACAGAAAATGAAAGCCAAAAGGCTAAAGGTCAACCTGTACAACGACTTCAAAGTTGAGATCCCTTGTCTCCTTGAACAACTTATCGCTGTAAAATTAAAGAAATAAAGTTAACACTCAAACGTGTCCTACAACTGGAAGTGTTGGCTAGTAAACAGATTTTCGTTTTTTAGATCAACATTCATAAATACATCCGCACAAAGTTATGGAATGAAATAGACAGACACACAACACATAGCTTGGGAAGTCTAATCTAGCTATCAGTTTAGAAACCTCTTTTAAGAGCATAACCAATAAATACAAGGACTAGTAATAAAAATGTGTGCCTATCCCATCCAAGAAAATCACTTCATGTATCTCTCACAAATCATTAGTAAAATAGAAGAAAAAGAGCCACTTGTCTTACACGATTGAATGAATTAATATATGAGCTATACAACTAACCTTGAATTAAGGGGAACTTTCATCTTTCTTCCCTCCTGCTGAGCACCCATCACAGATGAGTCAACTTCGACAGCTCCATTACTGATATGCAAAAACTTTAAAGAAACGTTGGAGTCAGCTAATAGAAAATCCAATCAACCAGCATAATTTAAATCCAAATTGTATTGTTGTTGGTAATCATTGCAGCCAATGAAACCAAATAGTTCTACACCACTGCTTTATCTTCCCCAAATTTGAGAAAAGTAGCAGGATAATGAAAACACCCGCAGAAATTAATTTGGCTCTAAAATTTTATAATGAGAAGAGTAACCAAAAACACTTAATATAACTGAAAAAACTAGTAAAACTATGATACATGAAGTCAGAATCACTCAAGTGCACTGCGGGAAAAATCTACTCAAGCTACTTCTACTCAAACTCAAAACTGCAGTATACTGACGCAGTCGGAATGCACCAAGACAACAAGCGTTGGTCTTGGAATTGAAAGCTCAAGTTTGCAAGCGACAAACTTGAAGAAAAAGCTCTGGAATCCACCAGAAAAGGTAAAGCTCGAAAACTCAAGACTTTGATTAATAAGAATGAATAATAGTTGTGTTCAAAACAAACGATCTAGGGTCTCTATTTATAGAGAAAGCCTAATGCATAAAATAGGATAATTACTAAAATCCTAATTAGAAAAGGAAAACACTTAAATAGGAAAATATCATGTAAACTAGAATGGACTAAGCTTAACCGTCTCCTGCATCATATACAGTTGAGATTACCTCGTCTATCAGTCCCTCATAAGTTAATTGGGAGCACATAGGAGTAACCATGTCAACCTGAAAGAGAAAAATAAAAGTTGAAACTGATAGCAACATGTGAAGACATCGTTCACAAGTATGCATTCTAAAGGCCTCCTCATCCAGTCCGAATTCCAGGTTAAGTGGGCTTGTGACAATATTTCAACCTCTTAACCTTTATATGCAGTAAATCAATTTTTTGCGTCATATCAATTTTTTTTTCAATGTGCACATCAGACAGAACTCTTTAACATTCAATTCTTGATGGACATCGTTGTCTTTAAGGATTTAAAATAACAGGAATACACATGATAATCTTACCTCTCTATCCAATAGAATGAGAGTATCCACCTCAGGCCTTCCCACCTAATATAGAACAAACATCATTTAGAATGGTGGAAAGAGGAAACCAAAGCATTTTCTACAAATATAAGATATCAGCGTTACTATTATAACAATCAATTTTAGGCAAAATTTACATCATTCGTATTGACAGGTTCCTCCACTTGCATGCGGTTTAGTATGTCTGCAACACGAACTGATGCTTTTCCCTTTGCTCTCACTTTTGATATAACTCCAAAAGAAAACTAAGAGAAGAGTTAGTCATGAGATAGTATTGTGTGGATCATTATATACAGAACAAAGAAATATTAAACCTCAAGCTCATGTATGGCTTTTGCGACATGCCAAATTGAGCTAACATCCCCATCCACAAGGCAGTCCTATCATTCAAAAAAACCATATAACAAGATAAATAGGAAACCTCTGATTATAAGCCCTCAAGGAAAAGGGCACACCAAGTAATAAGTAAGAATTGGACCCTTGAGAGTTCTACACACTTTTTCAGAGAGCTCAAGCTCAAATGAAATCACATCCTCATCTAGTGGAACCATATACAGAGGAAACTCCTTCACAGTAACCAGGTTATGCA